TAACTACTCTCCACGTTGGCCACTGCTCTGCTTGTTACAGGCCTAACACGAGTGCAAACAATCAAAGTCTTTGGGAACACTGAAATATGCATGGCTATCCGTGACAGACAGATAAAGCAGGGCAATTAGCCACGTAATCCTAGAGTGGCGCAAGGACTCGTCAGCCTCAGCTGTCCTCCCTCCCTCTCTCCGGATCTCTTTCCTCGTGCCACTCTCTTGCTCTCTATTAGTTAAATGTACTTTGTGTGTCGGCTCCCCATCAAATCAAGTAACACTTCCTCTAATTGGCTTATAAATTATACAGCTGAGGCAGCATTATAATTTCATCAGTGGTAAACATTGCAGGGGCAGTCGGTAAAGAATCTATCCCTCATTAATTTCTTAATTTGGGTAGATGGAACGAAGAGGAAGAGAGAGAGGTTGAGGATGAGTGAGAGAGCCAGAGCAACGGAGAGGGGAGGATCGGATGAACGAAAGAAACTCGGGGATGAAGGGACAGATGGTTAAAAAAACCAGGAGGATGTTGCCGGCACTTTTGTTAATAAATGTCAGATGAAATCCAGGCAGTGGCTCCCTTCTCGTGACTTTTCTCACTCACACATTTTCTCCCTTTGTGTTCTTTTTTTACTCCGACTTTATGAATATTTCATAGCAAAGGTCATAAATATTCATTCCAATAGCTTTGCATAGTAGTTATTACCGTTATTTCTTTTTAAAAAACAAAAATACTCATTATATATTCTTCATACTCTTCCCCTGAAATAATTACAAGTGCGGATATACCGAAACACACACACACTCCATCGCAGCGAGTGCTTTATTCCATTGCTTTATGAAGTGGAGACAAATGAATGTACAGTTCAGTCATAAGTTACTGACTTCTTCAAGCTGCTGTGCCTCTTTAGAGATATTCTCAAGAAAAGTGATTAACTTTTAGCATATTATCATATTTAAGGGCTTTTAAGATGCATACAATGCTACATTCACATCTAAAGGGCTGTGTTAATCCACTCTCTGCAGGTCGCCGAAAATTCAGGTAATTTATGCGGAAACTGTCCTAATGACATATGCTTTGAGTTGGAGTTGCACTCATGCATCCGCGTGAGTTGTATCCTGACTGGGTCCCATCTGTCTCCGCTCCTCTCATGCTGTAGATTTGGACTGGCTGCTTCCACCTCCTGTCAGATTAAACACGGAAACATATGAATGACTGACTGCTAACTGCTTCCATTGTCATGTCACGTTAAGTCTCCAGTTGCCACCGTTTTGATTGCTCATTTCGACCATTTCTGGGCCTTCTGTGCAGTGCAGGTTAATCTTGACATTGTCTGATCTTTGGGAGACATATTTTTAAGCAATCTTCAAAATGAGGGCTTCCTTGTGTCTCTGTGGTGAAAGCCAACATAAAAGGGTTTGGAAAGAGTGGGAGAATCTTCAGAGGGGAAGTGCGCCGCCGAAATGGTGTGAAATGCAAACGCCCAATGGCTTGTCTTTCATGGCTTTTATTCAATAAAACAGAGCTCTTTTTATGTAAGTCTTTTGAGTCTGACACATAACACCCACACTCAGACAGGATCAGAAATGGCTTTGCCACTAGATGATGATGATGATTATTACACATTTCTAATTTGATAATTTTTTTGAATGATCATTGGATTTGACACAATCATCAGGTGCATGATGCAAGTGCCATGTGCTAAAATATTTTCTGCTTTGCTGTGATTTCCGGTTTTCATTTCTGGTATGAGAATAAAATTTCTTTACATTTTTTGACAATAAATTCAGTGGAATTTTCATTTATCATCTTGTTTAAAGGATGCATACTTGCAAATCTGTTTACCAATATGGTGACTTTTATATATATTTTTAATTATCACATTACACACAGGACTATAAATATATAGACACACACACTCTCCTGACGCTTCCTCTTGTCTGTGGTTGTGTGTTCAGTGTGTAGCGAATGACTTTAATTAATGTTGTAGTAAAGCAGAGCTCTGGTCACGGCCTTCGTGAGGTTCTGCAGTAGTTCCACCTGAGCTGCTCCACACCACAGAACAAGCAGAAAGACTGACTATTGACATCTCACACTCACTCATACGCTCATATCAGCCAGTCACGGGTCACAGACTCCATCCCAGCGGGTCCATGTACCCATTAAAGGGCCATGTTAACAGCCTGATTTCAGAGTCGGCAGGAAAAACCAGGGGTCCCTAGATGGCCCCCAGACAGACTTAATTACTGATGAATTACTGAAGTCTGAGGGAACACTTCTACAAAGCATACTTGAGACGAAATGTATTCATGCAGGAAAATTGATGTATATACACTATGGAGTGAAACCACATCAGAAAATCTAGAGCTTTAGAAGCTATTTTCTTTTTTCCCAGTATGTCTGATAATCACATAGACCAGTGTTTCTCAACCCTGGTCCTGAGCGCCCACCAACACTGCACATTTTGTATGTCTCCCTTATCTGACACCCATTTCAGGTCCTGGAGTTTCTTTTAATGAGCTAATGAGTTGAATCAGGTGTGTTTGATTAGGGAGACACACAAAATGTGCAGTGCTGGGGGGCGCCCAGGACCAGGGTTGAGAAACACTGACATAGACATATACATGTATATGCATATTTTCATGCAGATTATACTGTGAAACTTCTTTTTGGTGTCAGAAAACTAATGAATGCAGTTTATTTAAAATTGTTAAAAGGTCTACATGAATAGAAATAATTATGGAGCCTGTTCAGACCTAAATAGGCCATTATGCTATATATACATTATTTTAAATATTAACCCTGTGTGGTACGCATTATGTTCTAAGAGTTAAATATTTTTTCCTGTTTGACTTTTTTGAAAGGGGGGGGGAAATTGGGAGACATGTCATGTCATGATCCAGAAACTAACATAAAATAATATTTCAAATAAATTGTTTTATACACTTGGAACAAGGTGCAGTGTTGTCTATGGCAACATTAACATTTTCTGTAAAACTTTGTTTGATAAAGTTAATCATGTAAAAATATCCAATTAACATTTAACATTTATGCTCAAAAAATGTAGAAAACAAACATATTTGAAAAGTTTATTTATAAATATGTACACAGGGAACAGAAACAAGGTTTTGCACTGTAAAATAAAATTAATCTAGAGCATATTATAACTCTATATATAAAGAACACTGAAATGCTGTACATTATTCACAGGGTGATTTTTGTAACAAATCAAATAAACCTTACACATGCTTTTTGATTGTAAAATCCAAGATAACTTTCTTGAGCACAAAACGGCCAACATATAAAACTGAAAAATTGTTAAATAAACAAAAACTGCAGTGCAATACGTTGTTACAGAGAATGACTTTGAGATCGATACTTAGCATATTGTTTGGGCTCAACAAATTAGGTGTTTAACAGAAGGTGACGTATATCAAAATATGTTAACTAACAAAAGAATATAAGATTAAATAATATATAAAAAATCTGTTATCTGTTTAAAGAACAAAGCCACGAACACAGAAGTTATGAATATTTCATATAGAGAAAGAACGAAACCTCCTTTTGAAGTCTTGAAAGAGCACACACAAAGAGGAAAGAGGAGGGGGCCGTAATTATTGTCTAAATGTTTTTTGACAGTGTTATATTAAAGAAGTAGGAGGTTCTGCCAAACAGAGCTAACCTCTTCAACAGGAGAAGTCTCCTCCTATCAACAAAGCTAGCACTCAAACCAAAAGGCCAAGATCCATTTGACAATCTAATAGCTAGGAAAGAAAATATGCGGCAGGGGGGAAAAAATTTGGAATTTCAATCACGTTTGCAGTTATAATCTAATCTGTGACATTTAGCACCTGCGACTATTAATACACACTCTATATTGTGTACAACTGAAATCCAAATAGCTTTTCATTTTCTCTTAAAGTGTCATCCTATTACATCGTTTAAAAACAGCTTTCAAATTCATGTTATTAGATGCTTATCGCAATATGTCAGTAAACAAATTTGCTGTGACATGCAGATGGCATTTGAGGTTCTGAGCGCTGCCTTTGTGTTCTAGTCGCGCTTTGATTAATACATAATGCACATTATTACCTCAATCAAACACCCCTTACATGTTGCATTACCAATTGTAATGATATGGCAACATTTCAGAACGCATCGTAATGAAGACCCTCTCTATGAATAATAAACACAAGAAAAACTAAAACACGCTGATTGCTTTATTATTAAGCCCTCTGATGGTACTGAATGCTTTCAGTGATGCTGAATGGGAGATGGGAGCAGAATTGTGAGTAATTATCAGGCCATCTTTATCTTGGGATGCCATCCGAAACCTAAGACAGGGTGGCTGAGTAGCCCTGAGGCGAGCTATCATCTTCAGTGACACTAGAGAGAGCACAGGGCAAGGCGACAAGATGTACCGGAGATGAGAATGGACATAGGAGAGCATTCTGTGGGTCCAACCAGCCCGAGTCTATCTTTGATTACCAGTGACCCCCGCATGTTAGCAACATTTCGTGGAATGGGCTCTCAGGGTTCATGACCTGCATGCGTCTTCCCTGCGACCCACAAAAAAGGGGCTAACTATATTTAACAATATGCACTCAAGCTCGCTGTGTTAATTAAAATGGGTATCACATATATGGCTGGGATCCATTCCTTATTACTGTTGCATCTCATTAAAGTTCGGCCCTTTGGAGGGGCTGGATCAGTTTTAAAACAGTTTTCTCTCTGTCTCGCTGTTTTCCATTTTCTTGTACAGTCATCTTCTTTTCCTTTAGGCCAAGGAAAAGTCATTATTTGGAGATGGAGGAGTTGGTGTTTTTGGATCCATAGAAATGTTCCCAAAGCCAATTAGGAAATGGATTTATTTAAACCAATTAAAATCAGCCACGGGAAGAGCGTGCATTTTTAATGCAAAAGTAAAATGTCATGGCAGCATAAGATTAACAAATCAAAAATATACAGGGTTAACAGAAAATAAATACAATAGAATAATTTAACACATTTTCATAGTTTTCATTATATACAAATTAAACATCACTTTTTAGCTAAAGCTTGGCTTTAAAATAAAGATCTGTTAAGAAGAAAGTCTCCCAGATGTCCTATATTAAAAAAATAATTAGTGAATACTTTGTTTCTCTTTCAAGTAATAAAAGGCATTTAGTCATTTATGTGGGATGTAGCAGTAAGAAGTAATCCAGTGGTCAGCCGTGGAGATTTTGTCATCTTTTACCCCACTGCTTTAATAGAAAGGGGAGTCACAAAAGATGCAGGGACCTTGGAGTATTTTCTTGATCCAGTCTGAATCTGAAAAGGCCATAAGTTTGTTGTTATTATATATAATCATTTACATATATTGAACATCAAATCAAGGCAGTTCATCTACATTTCTTGATGGCTTGTCTGTCTTTTCCCATTTTCTGCAACGGTGCATTTGGCAAATGGTTTCATGCAAAAGGCTTGCCATGCTAGCAAAATGTCAGTAGTTGATACAAATAACCAAAGATGAACATGCAAGATTAATAATAAAAAAAAAAACTAAACTAAATATTAATATAAATATTGACAAATTAAAAATTAAAACAATGGCATAATGAATTCAAGAAAAATCCTCCCTGACGATTTAAAAAATGTTTTAAATCAAAGAATTACAGTATTAAAATAATAGAGTTGCTGTATTCACACTACTAGTCCAAATGCATAAATCCAGTATTTTGAAATTTCCGTCAAACCCGTTTAAATTAATGCCTTGCCAAGATGGGCATTTTAACCAAAAAGTGCATGTGCATTTATGATCCCATCTACCTGCTAGTCAGAATTTAGCTGGTACAAAAAAAAAAAAAAAATGACATACTATTATAATTTTCATATCGACTTGGTACCGGAGTACCAGCATATTTGACATCCTAAGCTTGCACTGCTGTGGGGCAGCAGAGTTTTTGTTTTGTGTGTGCAAAGTTCCCGCTGCATTACAGAATGTGTAAGCGTGTATTGCAGTGTGGTTCTGAATAGAGATATGATACAGCATTATGGCTCACCCTCGGGCTCTGCTACTGAGGCAACACTGTCCTGCAATAGACAGCGGCGGTATGTCACACCCTGACAGGCCTGATATGACAGCGCACACCTTAGGGAGGAAGAAGGAAAGAGAAAGAAAGAGGGAAAGAGACAGTGAGACACATGAACAGAAGCGGCAGGGGAAGGTTTAGATCAGGACTTGGCAGAGATCAGAATGACAGCAATGAAGCAACTATTTCCCTGATACACCATTAGGGGCAGTAATCGCCTTTCAGTCAGGCAGATGGATAAAATGTCACGCAAGGGGCTTGAAAATGGGTCAACTCTACTCGAAACCTAGTCAACACCTACATATAGTCCAATAGAGAAAAAGTGATGTTATAGGTGAAAATTTCCAGTTTTCATGTCTGATCATGGAGGACATTATTGGCACATTCATTTAGACCTGCAACGTAATTGTAAAAATCCAAAACAAGAGCCTAGCAGACTACATTCTGGTATTCATAAGGATTAAGTGCAGAATATGAATATGGTATGAATTATATCTAAAATGACATAAAATATCAAAAGTTAATCTGTTCATCAAAGTGAGCAATCTGTGTCGGTTGTGAGCCAAGAACAGTGTCACTTTTCTTGGCACTGCAAAATATAGCCCAAGTGTTACTGAACCAGCTGTAAAATAAAATCGCATTTATATGTAAAACAGGCACACAGTATTCCAGATTACTATGTAAGTTAATGTTTTTGTGACAGTTACAGAGTTCATTTGACAATTATAGTACTCTGTCCCATGAAGTATGTCTTAGCTTTTATTATATTTATATTATAATAATTTCATACTTTTATTTACTTACTTTTAATGTATATAATTGGATTTACCTGAGCCATCTGTGCCCATTCTTACACTCTGCTCGTTTGCAGTCTGTGAAAGGCAGAACTTCTTTACAGAGGATGCAATACTCTGGAAACGTCTGTTTGTTCATCTTATTCATGATATGACCTATTAGCACCTGTGAAGGTCAAACATAAAAAAACTGACATGCAGGGTAATGTACACTTAAGGTATATTTCTAAAAACTGCCTACATTTTTATGCCTTCATCATCCAGTTTCGACCTTACAATCTTAAAATGCTCACAAAAATATCCACTTCTACATTTAAAAGCACAACTACATTTGTTTCAGGAGACAGTGAGAAGGGGGTTCACCTTGGCCGCCCTGTCTTCATTAGCAGGGTCGTTTGTGAGGAAGTCACACACACCTTTGGTAGGTATACATGTGTTCTGAGTGACGCAGGTGTGCAGGTACACCTCGCCCAGCACCTTCTTCATGTTCTCGCGGCTCAGTTGGGACTCCACTTCTTCGATCCTGCAGCTGACCTCCCTCATTTGTTCCTCACTGGACTGCTTTTCAGCTTCCCCCTGCCTGAGCTCCTCTAGAGTGGAGATCTCCGCCATCTCATCTTCACCTCCACCTGCCTCCTCATCTTCAACTAACACGTTACCTTCCCTATGAGTCGGCCGCCACAGGTGCTCTGAAGGGCTTTTCTGCATGGACTTGTAGAATGTCCGAAGAAGGAAAAGCTTGAGGCGCCATAAGTAGGTGGACCCTGAGGTTTGGAGCTTCTCATCTAGATTGTTCTGAAGAACCGAAGGGATGCTTTTATCCTTCAGTATCCGCCATCGCAGAAGATCCAGCAAGTCGGCCTTTCTGAAGAGACTGTGCATTTGAGACTCGAGCAGCTCAGCAGCCGCTTCATCTGGAGTCTTAAGGGTGATAAACTGCACCTGGTAAGTGCGATTGATGGGATGGAGCCCATTAATCATACCCTCATTGGAGATAAGAGCCAAGTAGGCACCATTTGGACTGATGGATATGCCTTGCATCCGTCGACCCGCAACTCCCTCTGGCAGAACAATCTCCTCCCATTTAAACTCAACAGCAGCGTCGGTGAAAACGGGTGTGAGCTTCTTCACCTTACCATCTAGTGAGCAGGTGAGAATAGTCCCGCCGTTATGACAGACTGTCATTGATATAATATGGGTTGAATGAAGCCCTGTGACGTGGGAGTTGTGAACATTGAGACCAGCTTTGGTGATCAGCAACAAGCACCAGAACACATAAGGACCACGTGCAGCAACCACTAGGCTGCAGTTGCATTTCTGATGTGGATGGAAGAGCGTAACGCATTTGATGTTGAGGACTGGTATCTGGTCCTTATCCTGCCACAAAACCACAGGCTGCCTGAGGGTGAAGCAACCCTTCACTGCCTTGAGGTTGACTGGAAGGATCTTTACCAGTCCAACTGAGCTGCCCACAATCAGTCCACTCATTTTCCGCCCACTGTGCTCATATTCCCACCAGGTGAGCACACTTGGTGACGACACTCCAGATTTTATGGTGTTGCAAGAAACCACTGAATCCTTTCCTTGTGGGGGCAAGCTGAACTGCCACACCACCACGTCTCCATTCTCCATAAGTACAGCCAGAAGCACGGTGCTAACATCTTTACATGCATTATTGGTCTGTACTTGCTGCATACTGCACAGACCAGACCACTCCATGCACACTGGCGTCTGCATACGAAACCGCCGTTGCAGTTCATCCAAATCTTTAATTGAGTTCGGTGGTGAGCCGTCGTTCTGAGCGGAATAGTTCCTGGATTTTAGCATTTCCCCATATAGTTCTGTAAGGTCCAGGAGAGGTGTCCAATGCAAACGCAAGTGACTGCTGTGGATTGTGAGACGATTGTCCAGTGTTAAGAAAGCAAGAAGACAGCGACCAAATTTGTCGCAGCCTAATGGTGACCAGCTGGTGTACTTAACGCCATGGAGGCGTCCACTTTGAGGATGGATGACTCTGTCCATCAGTATCATTTGGCTTGCTACTGGATCTTTACTCTTTGCAAAGCTTTCTTTAACAGTCTGCACTTCCTTTTCTAGGCCTACCTGTAACAATATATGAAAAAAACATGTATTTCATGCTTCATAAGACCTAACAAGTTTGAAAATATAATTTTCTAAAGTCTCATTTATATTTAATTCTGCACAATGTCACAGCGTGCAAATCATGTCCACTTGTCACTTTTATTTTTAAACAATTTCTTTTATATCTTTTTCATTCAAATCATAAATATAAAAAAAAAATTTTTCAATCATCAGATTTTTTTTTGATGTAGTGAGGTAATAAATCTGTTCACAGGATTAGTAAAATTGTTCACCTGCAATTTTCATTTCAGGCTAATTTTCATTTATTGTTCAAATTTCAGTGTAAAATACATAAACTGTCTGTCATGTAATATATATATATATATTAGAGCCTGCTACAGGCCCGCTTTCGAATGAGACCACCCCCGCGTCGATAGCCCCCGGGGTTCGGGAGTTAAGAGTGGTTAAATTCGTGGTCCGGCTCTGACCGATCAAGTGATCCCACTTGATCGCCCATTTGGGGGCTACCGACGCGCTTTTTTTACTCCCAAATATCGGTATCGGCCCCAAAAAAACCCATATCGGTCGGGCTCTAATATATATATTTGGTATTGGTGGAATAATCCTTCCAGTAATATCTGATAACAAAATTAAGTTTAAATTGATTTATACCATGTGTGGTATAAATAGTAACATGACCAGAGCAGTTTAATTCCAGTTTGCCTTCTGAAAGAAGATGTCCATGTCAAAGCAACATAAAAAGAAGCATTTAAAATACATGTAATAATGCAGATTCAATTACCATACTTGGTACATATAATATTTGAAACGTCTATTATTAATTAAAGGGGTCATATGATGCTGCTAAAAAGAACATTATTTGGTGTAATGAAATGTGTTTATGCGGTTTAAG